CAAAGAATGTTCAAACTACTGCACGATTGCACTCATCTCACATGCCAGCAAAGTAATGCTCAAAATTCTCTCTTGGTGCATGCAAGATTTTGTTTGTGCCCTCCAGGAGTTGAGCCTCTGTTTCCCCCAGTCCTGTGGAAGTCTTGTAATCAAATCCCCCTGACATGGGGCTTAGAACCTTCACAACAGTGGGAGACCATCTTTGGTGTTATTGTTCTTCAGTCTGTGGGTCACCCACCCAGTGGGTATAGCATTTGATTTTATCCTGATTGCATCCCTCCCACCGTCTTGTTGCAGCTGGCTTCTTTGTCTTTGGATGTGGAGTATCTTTTTGGTGGGTTTCAGTATGCTCCTGTCAATAGTTGTTCAACAACTAGTTGTGATTTTGGTGCTCTCGAAGGAGCCATCTTGAACCTCACTTTCCAAACTGTGGAATATTCTTGCAATGAAACACTATATGAATGAATGACTACTATATCAGCAACATGGATAAATCTCAGAGACATAATATTGAGTGAAAGAAAAAGACACTAAAGAATACGTATTATTCCAGAAAAACATCTATTTCTGCTTCATTGACTATGCCAAAGCCTTTGACTGTGTGGATCACAATAAGCTGTGGAAAATTCTGAAAGAGATGGGAATGTCAGACCACCTGACCTGCCTCTTGAGAAACCTATATGCAGGTCAGGAAGCAACAGTTAGAACTGGACATGGAGCAACAGACTGATTCCAAATAGGAAAAGGAGTACAGCAAGGCTGTATATTGTCACCCTGCTTATTTAACTTCTATGCAGAGTACATCATGAGAAACGCTGGGCTGGAAGAAGCACAAGCTGGAATCAAGATTGCCAGGAGAAATATCAATAACCTCAGAATGCAGATGACACCACGCTTATGGCAGAAACTGAAGAAGAACTAAAGAGCCTCTTGATGAAAGTGAAAGAGGAGAGTGAAAAGGCTGGCTTAAAGCTCAACATTCAGAAAACTAAGATCATGGCATCTGGTCCCATCACTTCATGGCAAATAGATGGGGAAACAGTGGAAAACAGTGGCTGACTTTATTTTGGGGGGCTCCAAAATCACTGCAGATGGTGATTGCAGCCATGAAATTAAAGGACGCTTACTCCTTAGAAGAAAAGTTATGACCAACCTCGACAGCATATTAAAAAGCAGAGACATTACTTTGTTAACAAAGTTCCGTCTGTATGGATGTGAGAGTTGGACTGTAAAGAAAGCTGAGTGCCGAAGAATTGATGCTTTTGACCTGTGGTGTTGGAGAAGACTCTTGAGAGTCCCTTGGATAGCAAGGAGATCCAACTTGTCCATCCTAAAGGAGATCAGTCCTGGGCGTTCATTGGAAGGACTAATGTTGAAGGTGAAACTCCAGTACTTTGACCACCTGATGCAAAGAGCTGACTCATTTGAAAAGACCCTGATGCTGGGAAAGATTGAGGGCAGGAGGAGAAGGGGATGACAGAGAATGAGATGGTTGGATGGCATCACTGACTCAATGGACATGAGTTTGAGTAAACTCTGGGAGTTGGTGATGGACAGGGAGGCCTGGCGTGCTGCGGTTCATGGGGTCGCAAAGAGTTGGACACGACTGAGGGACTGAACTGAACTGAATGCCATTTATATAATGTTCAAAAACCAAGCAAAGCTAATGTGTGATGTTAAGCCAGGCTAGTAGTCACCTTATGGCAGGGGGCAAAGGGTGTGGTTAGTGCCTAGGAAGAGGCATGGGGATGTTTCTGGGGTGCTGATAATGTGGGATTTTTTTTTTTTAAAACCTTGTGGTAGTTACACTGAAATGTTCACTTTGTGATATTCATATAGTTGTACATTTATGACTTATACCCTTTTATGTTTGTAGCTATGTTCTGGTAAAGAATTTTTTAAAATATTGACTGGTACATCTATTAGAAATGCTAAAATAATACATTACCAAGTGCTGATGAGCATGCAAAGTAACTGGAATTCTTAAACACTGCAAGTGAGGAAACAAAATAGTACCACCACTTTGAAAAACAGTTTGGCGGTTTCTTACAGTTAAACAGTTAATCACTTAACCGATGATTCTATTTCTAGGTATTTACCCCAAATTAATAGGGACTTATGTTCTCATAAAAACTTGTACCTAAATGTTTCTAGTGGCTTTATTCATAATCACCAAAAACTGGAAGAAACTACTAGGGAATGGAGAAACAAGCTGGTACACCCGTACCCTGGAGTACTACTCAGAAATAAAAATACCAAACTCCTGTAATGCAACCAAGTGGACACATCTCAGAATCATCATGCTAAGCAAAAGAAGCCAGACTCCAAAGGGTACATACTGTGTATGATTCCATTTATATAGCATTTGGAAAAGGCAGACCTATGTAGAGACGAGATGAGTAGACAGATGCCTGGGAATGGGTGAAGGGTTGACTGCAAAGGTACCTTGTGTCTTGATATGATTCTACACGGTGTTTGTGTCTAAACCTGGCTTTAAAAATCCTGATGCCTAGTTCCCATCTCAGACCAATTAATTCAGTCTGAGGATGAGACTCAGGCACTGCTATTTGTTCTAAACATTTCCAGGTGATTTCACTCCATACAGTTAGGGCTGAGACCATTTATGAGCTATATAAATCATCTAGGGAACTGCACAGAAACATTGGCTTTTGGTTTTGGGTTTCCACTGTCCTCAACAACTGATTAAAACTCTAGACAGAGATTGAGCATCAAGTGAAGTAATTAGCATTTAAGGGGCTGAGGATTATTCCACCCTTATTCCATTGATGACTCAGACATTGGGCAGGCTTTTCTTTGGTTATTACTTTGCTGCTGCTGACATTGTTCAAACTGGTGATTATGAAAACCAGCATCAGGAAAGTGTTGACAGGAGTTTGATTTATTTAAACCATTGTATTTGAGATCATATCCTGGGCAGTACTTGATTGTTCCTATATAGCTGTGGTGTTTTCATCTTTTCTGTAGTCGCTTTGTGAACGAACCCGATTTGGGCCTTTGGTCCAAATTATACCACTAGGTGTCACCAAGGAGTGATTAATGGGTAAACAGAGGGATCCAAGGATAAAATGTGATCGGAAAATTTTGAAAGCTTATTTTTCAGACCTAAAGGGCTTTGAAGGAGGCAGGTTAATGCAAAGGATCTAGTGGGGGGCTGCCAAAGGTCTTAAGAGTTTGCCCACGCTTTTTAGGGAATCCTTGCTTTCTCTCGTCTTAGGCTACTTCTGTAACCTTCTTTATTTATTAACCTTGTCTTTGAGTTTTTCTTAAATGTTGGCATTAGGTGGCCACTTGTGTCATATTGCTTTCCCTGAGGCTGTTTTCCTGTGTATAATTTCAAACTGACTCTTCTTCTGGTCTCCATTCCTCTTCTTTGTTAATAAATATAACCTTTAGTCTCAGTTCAGATGTGAATTGCCTGTCCCTCAAAGTTAAGTCCTTGATATGGGTTAAAATGCCCACTTGTCTCTTTAAACTTTAAATCCTGCATTTGCTTCAAGTCTATTTTAGGACCTGTCATCCCCACTTAGCATCTCTTAGCTAACTCAGCTCTACATGATATTCCTTTGCATTTATAGGCTGTTCTATGTAATCCCACATTTGCTTAAATATGCCCTTGTGTTTTCTTTCCACAGTCAGCTGCTAAAAGTTGTTTTCATATCTTCTGCTTTTGCACTCTGTATGTTTACCTTGCAAGATGCTGAGCATAGGGTTGAAGTGCTTGTTGATAAATCAGCTGAGCCAGAAAATAGTAGTGAGCACTTGCATATACTCTTACATAATACTTACCATGTGCCAGGTACTTTTCTAAGTATATTACATGTGTTTTCTCATTAAATCCACACAGACACCATGAGGGAGACTGTTACTATCTTCCACTTGATAGATGTGGCAACTGGGGTCTAGAGAAGTTAAGAAACTGGCCTGAGTCATGCAGCTGTTAAGTAATGGAGCCAGATTACAAACCCAGGCAGTCTGACTTCAGGGTCCATGCTCTTAATCTCCACACTGATTTAAACCACAACAGTAAATATTGAGCATTTGTTATATGCGAGTCACTATGCTAAGTGTTTTGCATGAATTATCTCAGTCATTCCTCACAGGAGCAGTATGAGGTAGGAACTGTACTATTTTACAGACAGAACTGAGATACAAAGAGTAAATTGCTGAAGGCCATGCAATTAAGAAACCCAGGGTGGTTCATTTGAGCTATAAACCTAAGTGTGTATAAATCCAGAGCTCTGGCTCTTAACCTCTATGTTCTGTTACCCATTGAAAGTGAAAGTGTTAGTTGCTCAGTCGTGTCTGACTCTTTGTGACCCCATGAACTGTAGCCTGCAAGGCTCCTCTGTCCATGGAATTTTCCAGGCAAGAATACTGGAGTAGGTAATCATTCCCTTCTCCAGGGGATCTTCCTGACCCAGGGATCAAACCTGGGTCTCCTCTCTGGGGCTATTTAGGTCAGATCCCACCTTCAATTTGACCACAGTGCTAGGTGTCAGTACTTTCTTTCTTGGTTTATGAGTTCTGGGCAGTGTTTTTTCAATTCACCAATGTGCTCAGGGGTCACACACATCCAGAGATAGTGCCTGCATGACTTTCTTGGAACCTCATCATTAGAATGCTACTTCCTTTACTAATAGCAGTTTTTCCAGTCTTGGCCCTTTGCCCCTAGTTTATGTCAGTAGAGCTATTCAATTTCAGTTTTTTTAATGCTACTGCATTTATTTGAGTAAATTCATCCTCCAGTAATAAGGTGATTCCTGCCTATTATACAGGCAGTTCTCTGAAGACATGAACGTCATATAGGTAATAAGCCAAAGCACTATTTGAAGAATCCTGTTTCTAAGAATGGTGGTTTTTCTTTGTTCTCAAGGGTTTTCTTCCTAAAAAGACAGAAGGTTTTGCAGCAGGAGGAGAAAAATTCCATTAAGAGGAGGAAAATCATGAAGCTTATTTTGTCTTTCTTTCCCTTTCCCCAGAGTCTGAATGGTGTCTGGCTAAACAGAGAACGTCTAGAACCTTTAAAGGTCTATTCTATCCATAAAGGAGATCACATCCAGCTTGGGGTACCTCTGGAAAATAAGGAGAATGCAGAGTATGAGTATGAAGTTACCGAAGAAGATTGGGAGAGGATTTATCCTTGTCTTTCCCCCAAAAGTGACCAGATGATGGAAAAAAATAAGGGCTTGAGAACTAAAAGGAAATATAGTTTGGATGAATTAGAGGGTTCTGGAGCTGAAGGCCCCTCAAATTTGAAATCCAAAATAAGTAAATTGTCTTGTGAACTTAGTCAGCCAGTGAAGTCGCATGGGAAGGGTGAAGTGGCCAGTCCACCTTCTGAATATTTAGATACTAAGTTGACTTCTTTTGAGCCAAGTGGGAAGACCACAGGGGCTCATGTTAACCCAGGCCCTGCAAAAGTTATAGAGCTTCATCGTAAGAAGAAGAAAGCTTCAAATCCTTCAGCATCTCAGAGCAACTTAGAGCTGTTTAAGATAACCATGTCCAGGATTCTAATGCTGAAAACACAGATGCAGGAAAAGCAGGTAGCTGTTCTGAATGTGAAAAAGCAGACCAAAAAAGGGAGCTCAAAGAAGATTGTGAAAATGGAACGGGAACTTCAGGATTTACAGTCCCAGCTGTGTGCAGAGCAGGCCCAACAGCAGGCCAGAGTGGAGCAGCTGGAGAAGACCATCCAGGAAGAGCAGCAGCATCTCCAGGTACCACACAGGAGGGAAGGACAAGATGCCCCTTGGGGTGGGCAGGCCCTTTGTGAGCCTGTGACCAGAGCTCTCTGTTTCTAGGTCAGGGACCGTATGTTTAGTGCCAGGGACAGGAGAGGTAATGTGATCAGAAAACTTGAGGTCTGCATGACGATCAGATCAGGAGCCAGAGCTGGGTTGCCAACATGGGATGAGGGGACTGGCAGAACCAGCCAAGATGAATGAGGTTGTAAAAACTGAAGCATCACAGAGCTGAGGTGGATTTAGAGAGAGGCTGGATGAAGGTCAAGATACCCAGAAGTTACAGTACACTCCAATTAAAATATTAGTTTTCATGAGTAATCTTCCTCTGCTCTGAGGTCAAAGCCAAATTCCTGTACCCAAGGCAGGTAGAGGTCAGCTGGTTACTCTGCGTTTGATTTACCTGTTACTCGTTAGCTTTGTAGCTAACCTAGGAAGTAGGAGGCTAGAAAGGCAAAAATGTTAATTTCTGTCCTGAGTAGCCAACAAGGGAGGGGGCAGGTACACCATCACTCAGTTCTTGGGTTGAGTGCTACCTTGCACAGGATGTCTGCCTCTTCAGTAGATAAAATAATGACTGTCTTAGCTCTGTCAAGGTGAGAGTAAATGTGTCTGCATCCCTGAGTCGTTTGTTTAGATGATAAGCTCTTGCACAGAGCTTCTTGCACAGGCTGATCCTGGTTCTGCTCAAAATGTCAGTTCCCATCTGGCCAGAACTACATGATTTACTCCCACCCACTTCCTCAGGTAAGACAGAATGTCAAGAATTCCCCATTGTTGACTTAGAACTAAGAAGGGCCAATCAGGATTGAAGTGAATAATCTTTTATCTTTCCTTTACTTTACTCAGGGTAAGAAACAACCACTTGTGTTGGCTTATTTCTGAACAATTTATAGATTTCATCTAAGCTCTGCTATCCCCTTGAACTGATGGTCTTAGCAAAGGCCATGGATTAAGTAGGTCTTTCTCAGGGTATACAGTGCTTGTTTATGTATACTTTTTTTGCTGCCCTTTTCCAGCCTGGACTGGTTCTTGAAATTAATAGAGGGAGGTTTATCTCTACACATTTAGTGTATGACACCTTCACCAGAGCAGAACTCTCTTTAAAGGCTAATATGTTCAATAACAAGAGTTGCTATTAATTAATATTTGTGGCTGCTCTGGGCATGCTTTAAGATGTAGCTAGCTGTCAAGTCTTTTTCCATACTAAAAGGGTAAAGAAAGGCAAAAAGGACTCGTTTAGGGAGTTTCTCTAGGAATGAGAGGGTAATACATAAATTGCTCATAGTGAGGCGTATCTAGTCCTTTATTATTAGCTGCATTTTCCTCTGTTACCAAGCCCTAGGAATTTATCCTACCCATGCTGCTTGCTCAGAAGCTCATTAAACCCGTGTTATTTCACACAGATTTTGGGGGGGCGGGGCGGGGAGTGGGTGCGCTGCACAGCTTGTGGGATGTTAGCTCCCTGACCAGGGATTGAACCCAGGTCTTCAGCAGTGAGAATGTAGAGCCCTAACAATTGGGTGGCCAGGGAGTTCCCACACAGAATTTTTTTTGAGCACCCAAGTTGCCTGGCACTATACTTGGGTCTGGGTGGTTATAAAGATGCTTAATAAATGCTTTTTGTCACTAAGGAATAGGTCTTGTTGAGGACACAAGATACACACAAAATAATCACAGTAGTTTCAAAAGTCTATAGATTTAAGTTAGAGACCAATTTCCAGTTGGTGTATTAAGCGGGTAGGTAATTCTTAAGGAGGGATGGACCCAGAGGTTCTCTTGGAGGGTGCTGGATGTAGGGGAGTGATGATGTGGAAGACATCCACACCTGAGGGGGCCCTTGGAGGAAATGCAGCCAAGGCAGGTGGAGGAGGAACAGCTTATGGGCCAGAGGTGGTGAAGACTCTGAGTGAGAGACAGTGGCCAGAACTGAGGAAAGAAACATGGCAGAGCTGTGAGTGCCAGCCCAGGAGATTGTATTTCAATTTAGATACTTAGTGATGCAGAAACTCTTGAGTTTCCATCCTTTTGAGAGTCATAGCATTAGCCAGTGAAGGGGACTTGGAGTATTAATCCAGAGTTTCTCCAGAACACCCTGAGTGGTGACTTGAAGGTGGCAGCCTTGAGATGTGCAGTGTTTGAGCAGTTTAACTCTGCTTAAGTCCCTTACTGCCAACAGCTTGAAGTAAAATGGGAGATTTTCCACTCCCTCCCTGCCCCCTGTTGTTTCCAGATGCTTCTGCTAGCAGGTCAGCTCTGCTTGTTACTGTATTTTTCCCCTTTTCCCCCATTTCTACAGGGAAGCCTACCATTTTGTTTTTGGCTTTTCAGGGTTTGGAGAAAGAGGAAGGAGAAGAGGACCTGAAGCAGCAGCTGGCCCAGGCTCTGCAGGAGGTAACATATGTCTTGCTATTGTCCTGAGATTATAGTGGGCGACAGAGTTGGGGGCAGCCAGGCTTCATGTGTGCCCACTGGCTGCCTCTGCTACTTAGCACACCCCTCTGCAGCATCTCCAGTCTGTAGACAGAGCAGGTGGCAGCAGCTCACACCATCAGGTCTGAGATTTGGAACCTCACAGACATGCCAGACCTCAGCGTGAAAGCTTACATCTTCATCTGAGCATGAGATGCTCTAGTGAAGATGAAACAGAGCCTGTAGCAATTAGGAGGCTCTCTGGGAGAATGGCTGCACATTCAGAAAGGTGAGGGCAGCAGAGGGAAATTGCAAGCTGTGACTTGGCCACCAGGGCCTGCAGCACCTCCATTACCTCACTATTCCTGAGCTGAAGCCATTCTGAAACCATTCAAGAATGTTCCAATTAAGCATTTTAGGTTAGGTTGAGAATTTGTAGTTTAACAGCCACTGAAACATATCAATTTACTAAACGGGCAAGACTCACAGGAATAAAATTATCCTAAAAGATTGCCTGTTACTTATTTAACTTTAGTACCTCGCTCTGTTTATTTTTTAATGAGTCCTTTTGCATCTTAAAAACCTGCTTTGTCTTCTATCAATTATGTGTGATGATTAGTAGTTTAAGTCAGGAGGTTAGTGTTCATATCTTCTTGAGAAAAATGAGCAGTTGGGTTAGAATTTGTTTTGAATTTATCCTTTGGTTCTTTTATTGCTTACCTATCTGTCAACCCCTCACAGTGCTAAGTCACATATTCCTGCATGCTTGGGAGTTTGCCCACTTTGATTTCCTTGGGTTCACAAACAGCCTTGGAAAGAATTAGGTGAAAAATTCAATCTTTTTGGAATTTTATTTTCTAAGCTTGTGTATTTTCTAGGTTGGGGGGGTAGGCATGTTTCCCATTTAGAGGATTATTAAATTAATATTCAAATAAAATTGACTGGAAAAGAGGAAGGTTCTGCTCTTGAAAATCCTTGAGGGATCATTAAGTACCCTGCACCCCCAACGCCTTACACTCTTCTGAGATAGACTGGAAAACACTTATCTTTTAGCATAAGGCTCTTGGCCCATCTCCCTTCATTAACCTAAAATAGGATACTTTCAAGTCATGGTTCTCTGACAACATACCTGGGGGACTTACCACTCTCAAATGAAACATGGTGGTTTTTTGTTCCACCTGATGGTCCTTCTGAAGCTGTTCTTTTTCATTTTCCAGACCTATAATTATAACAGCTTGCCTTTACATAGAGATTTTAAAACTCTCCTGAGTGCTCTCATATGTGTCTTTGTTTTTTCTAACTAACCCTGATGTAGGAGGGGCACCTGTTTTCCCATTTTATAGATAAGAAAGTTAAGGCACAGGCATCTGATTAGTAGTCAAGGTGAATACTAAAGACTTCTAATATAACTGCCTTTTTTGTTTTTGTTTTTGTTAGCCCACACATTTTAAAATGTATTTCTTGAGTGATAACTTTTCAGAATACTTAACCACCTTCTTTAAAAGAAGATCTGAAATGAAATTTAAAATATAATCTATACTTAAGCATTAGGGAGCTCAGAAATTATGTTTCATAGAAATGGAACTTCTTGACATTTGATGTAGGCAGTGAGTCATGGTAAATGAGCCATTAGCTCTTGGGCATGCCAGTTTCCAGAATACCAAGGCAGGGTTCAGGCAGTGTTGCCTTATCAGCACATAGTAAGTGATTTATAGAGTGAATAGGTTAAAGGTCTTTTTTTTAATTTCAGTGAAAACAGTTACCTAGTTTTCCTGAATCGTGTATATCCCTGATTATTTCTTACAAGCTGCTCCCAGTGCTGGGTAGCCTTAGAATTAGTTACTAGTTCTTCAGCATTGGTTCCTGGAGTCACTTGGGTGGCCTTTTAAAAAATGCACATCCCATATATATGTATAACTGATTCACTTTGCTGTATAGCAGAAGGTAACACAATATTGTAAATCAACTATACTCCAATAATTTTTTTTTTTTTAATGCACATCCCTGGGCCCCAAGCCAAACCCACAAAGTCAGACTCTGTAGAAGTTCTTCAGTTGCTTTGGATGACCATGAAGGTTGGGTTATTTCCAGAGGGATTAATAAACTCGATGGATTTTCTCCCTATCTGCTCCTTTCCCTGAAAAAAAAAAAAAAAAAAAAAGGCATTTAACTGGGATGTCTTTTTTTTTTTTCCTGAAAAAGAAACAACTTTATTGAGGTATAATTTAGGTTCCATATTTAAATTGTACAGTTCAATGACCTTTTTAAAAAGTTTATTTTTAAATGTGCAACAGGCTCCAAGACAACACTTCATTCTAGATATGGGTGGCATTAGATGTTATGGCAGGGAACCCAGATGCTTAAACAGGAGTGGAATTGAGGATCACTTCAATGACCTTCATTAAACTTACCTAGTTGTGCAACCATCACCACAGTCAAGTTCTGTAACATTTTTATCTCCCCCAATAAGATTCCTCTTACTAATTAACAGTTAGTGATGATTCCCATTCTTACCCCTATGGTCAGTAGCTCAGTCATATCCTGTTTGTGACCACATGGACTCCTCTGTCTATGGAATTTTCTAGGCAAGAATACTGGAGTAGGTTGCCATTTCCTTCTCCATAACTGGGATGTCTTGAAGAAACAGGAACATTATTTTGAAATTGCCCAGTCCATTAATCTCTTGAACCAAAACTGCTGACAGAGGGAGGGACAGGCATGGTGACTAAAAGGAGCAATATAGTGCTATGCATCTTGAGTATGTATCTGCTGTGTTTCTGCAGTATCGGGCTCTGATGGAAGAGCTAAATCGCAGCAAGAAGAACTTTGAAGCAATCATTCAAGCCAAGGACAAAGAATTGGAGCAGACCAAGGTACTGGAAAGAAGAAGAAGGTTTAGAATTTGGTTAGTACATGCAATTCAGCATTTTCAACAGTGCAAGGATTGCTTTGGTGAATGAAGGGAGAGGTATGGCTATTCCCTGCCTCAAGGGAAATAATCTATAAAATTATTTAGGCCTGTAGAAGGTTCTTCCTGTAAGACAACATGTTTCCTTCCCTCATTCAGAAGCGAAATGCTGGGAATGTGCATCCTGCAGTCTAGTCCATTGTCTGTGGTAGATGCTCCTTCAGAGTGTTTCACTCACATAGGCTAAGGGGTGGTGTAATCAAACTAAAAAGTAGTTCATCTTGATGCATTTGTGTAATTATTTCTCACATCAAATCAGTGACACTCTTAAATTAGGGGCTGTAGACTCAGATGCCCCCTGGAGTCAGACTGATAATAGAAGTGAATAAAGTGGCCTGGGTGTGAGAACACAGTGGGGAGCTGTGAGGCGGAATTCCATCCTCACCCATACCCCAAGAGGCAGCTCTTCTCTGCAGCAGCCAGGTGTTGCCAGCCAGAAGTGAAGGCCCAATGTTGTTAGATCTGAGTTTTCCACAGAAAATGGAAATCCAGATGTTTATGTGAAGTATCCCAATTTTCAAGTAGTAGCAACAGGTTCAGTTTTTTGATGCCATGAATGCCAAACTAAATAAATAAATCTATAGGCTGGATGTAGTCCACAGGCCACCAGTTTGCATCCTATGATGGGAAATTAATGCCTGAGTCTGACTACATCTCTCAGCCCACCCTTCCTCAGGTTCACATCTGGAGCAGATTACAGAAAGGAGGGGACTCTTTTTCCACTTGTTTTGCTATCCTTATCCTCTATTTAAATCACATAGTACTTTATTCCCCAGCCTCTAAGACGCCACCACATCTTTTTAAATCCAGCAATTCAAAAATTTTCAAGGAACTTGACTCTAGTTATAAATGGGTCTATTCCCTCTTCACTGTCCTGATTAGTCTCACAATCTTTGCTTTGATAAGAAGAGAAAATAAAACATGAAAAATAACCTCTCAAATATACCCTCTTTTGGCTCTTCCTCTCCCGCCTAGGGGCACTTAATAAATGTTGACTTCAAGAGAGCACACCTAGGTCCTCCTTGCAGTCTAGGTCCACACCTAGGTCCACAAGCAGTCTGTCTCTGGGGAAAGCACAGGGAAATTGCACGGCAGGAGTGGGAAGTAACAAGCATCACAGAGCATGAGGCCTGAAGATACTTCAACAGGCCATCTCTCCAGCCTCCTGCCTCCAGGCACCTTGGGTATTAACCTTATTTTGTAGGAGAGACAGGTGCAAAGAACACAGAGGACCTTATACACTAATTCAAGCTTCCTGCCTTTATGGACTGTTCCTCATTTCTTTCTTATCCAGTGAGCTCTTGGCTGCTTAGGATGATTTTGTATCCCCTCTGAACTGCAGTGTGCTATAGAATACCTAATGCCTTGTTCTGGCCTCGAATGGTTGGTGGAGTTGGTATGCTGACTTCAGTTTTTCTCATTTGGTTATTTTTGGGAAGAAGACCGAAACTGCGATACCAATACATACTCATAAAGTCGAGAAAGGAAAAAAAAAAGGACGACAGTGCTCTATATTAGAAAGCAGTTCTGAGAAGCAGTAATCCTTGGGGCAAGAATTTTATTCTTGTGTTACTACGCCAGGGTAAATTTTTAATTTAGATTCTTTCTGAATCCTACTGCAGACTATTAATCCTGCTCTGTCCTGTTTTGCATTCTTGTTAGTTCTCCCGAATGACGGGTGGGGTTATATGTCTTTGCAGGAAGAGAAGGAGAAGGTGCAAGCACAGAAGGAGGAAGTTCTTAGCCACATGAATGACGTGCTAGAGAATGAGCTCCAGTGTATTATTTGCTCAGAATACTTCGTTGAGGTAATGATGAGCAGTGGCTCATGCCTTCTCACTCTCCCACTCCTGAATGGAGCCTCAGATACACAGACTGCTTCTGCTCTAGGGTAACTTACTGTAGCTATTTGACTTCAAAGTGGCTGCTGGAGGTGGCCACTTCTCACTTGTCTTTGTGGTCTTCTTTACCTCCACTGACTTTTTTCTTACTTCATTTGTTCTTGAGTTCTTTTTTTGGCAGAATCAGTGTTTGGGGCTATAATAAAGCCTTTATCTTTTTGTTGTTGAGGGAAAAATACTTTGCTTTTGAAGAACCATCTCGGGGCTGCCCCACCCTCCCACAGGTCAGAATGTCATATGTTTCCTACATTTCCAACAACTATATGCTGTTGGGTTTTTGTTGTGTTTTTTTTTTGCCTAGTGTTGAGCTCCTGCAGGTTGTTTTTTTTTTTTAACTCCTGGGAGCCATTTGATTCTGGCAGATTCCTGAATTAGATGGCATTAGAAATTTGAAGTATCAGAATAAAGCTACTCAATAAAGCTAGTCTTTCTTTGCTCTGAAAGGACACAGTGCTGAGAGTGGGTTTGCAGTGCAGCCTTTGAACAAGGGGGTAAATGTCATTGCGGTATAATCACTGGGGATTCAGTGGCCCAATGGAACATTTTTCAGGGACTCTGAGGCTCCTTAAGAAAATGAAACATCACACCTAGGATTTCATTTGTTACCCTGTCTTGTTTTTGCACAGACTCTTATTTTCACAAATTCTACCATTTGTGTCCAGTTCATCTTACACAATAAGTGTTAAACTAAAGTTGTTAAATGATAGTGCTTTTCAGACTCATTTAAAAAGAAAATGCATACACACACAGCTTCCTTTTTTTCTGGTGGTCTTTAAGGAGATTGGGTCTATTAGCCTCCTGAAAAATCTGTCCTGGATAGACATGTTTCTTTTGCTTTGGATCTACTTTGACTTTAGATCATAATTTCCCCCATAGTTTCTAGTCATTTGATTCCCTGCTTTGGAGAAACTCAGTATTGTTTCAGCATGACTTACTCACCTTAATAGAAGAAGACAAGAAAAGGGGTTGGAATGAGTGATGAGTTAGCCAACCCAGAGCATCTGCACGACATGTAAGAGACAAATAACTTGATCTTTGTTTGGTTTACAGCATGTGCTGACCTTTCCTGCTGGTCGTCTCTTAAAATCAGTGTTGGGAAAGAGATTTCATTTTAAGTCAAGCAGGTTTTTAGTCCTGTTTATTGAGAATTTTGTCTCATTCTTTATTTTTACTTTCTTTTTTTGTATGTCTCATTCTTTACTTGGAATGTCTCCTAGTTGGCTTTCTGGCCTTCACTTGGCCTTTGGAAAATAATACAAAGTTTGTGTTATTTCCCCCTGCTTTCCTAAAAGCAAGAAAGAAAACTTTTGCGCTCCAGGAAAAGTTATATCTTAGGAGATGTACAAAAATAAGACTAACGAAGAGTATGGTTTATGTTTTGGAAAGTGATAAGGACCTTGGCAGAAAGCTGACCATTGGGGTTACTCAGGAGCCCCTCAAATATGGACCTTTTTCTGCTTTCTTTCTTCTCATAGGCTTATTGATATTACTTAAGGCACTGTCAGTTGAACCCATTACATTTTTTCCGATTTTGTTTTTTTATTCTTTTTCCATAGCCTAAGTTCTTTTACATATACTTTTATACCTCCTACCATTTGGTATACTGAGTATTCACTGTGTGAATTAAAATTGAGATTCTAATTCACCATTAGGACGTAAATTTATTTTTCATGAGAGAATAAGTGATGTATTTATTCCAAACATTCACATGCTTTCTAGTCCTACTTAAGTCCAGTGACATTTATTTGCAGGGTAGCTAACACATGTTGGCAGTGTGAACTGAGTTGGTGGAACAAAATAAGACAAATCACCCTACCTGGAGCCTGAGTTTATGAACTTAACTTTGAGAGAAAAAACAAATCATCTAATGTAAAGCTTAAAATTTCACGTTCCTAGGAATGATTCTGATAGCCTTTGTAAGCCCTCTAGATGAAGTTATGGTTAAATTTCCATTTGGTCTTGAGAACTAACTCCTTCCCTAACTCTGAGATCACAGCGGCCCTGGGGAAGTAAGCGTCACAGTTCTGATGTGTGTGTTCACATTTCCATTATAGGCTGTCACCTTGAACTGTGCCCATAGTTTCTGCTCCTACTGTATCAATGAGTGGATGAAGCGGAAAGTAGAATGCCCCATTTGTCGGAAGGACATCAAGTCCAAAACCCGCTCCCTGGTTCTGGACAATTGCATTAGTAAGATGGTGGACAATCTGAACTCAGAAGTGAAAGAACGACGAATTGTCCTCATCAGGGAACGAAAAGGTGAGTGAGTGTGAAAAGAGGTGAGTCCCCTCAACAGACTTAAAGAGTGTTTTGGATCCAGAAGAGTCAGGTACGTGATTCTTGAGCTTAAGAAGGAGGTGGAAGAAATGGGGGAAAGTAAAGGAAGCTAAAGATAATAAACATGTAAGAAAGAGTTGAGGCAGAATGAAATATTTGAGCAGCAAGGGATGGGCAGGCTTAGATGTTTGTGTCTTAGTTATGGGATAAGAAAAGATGGAATTAGAAAAACACACGGGTGGACAACTTGCAGGCTAGTCACTAGATGGGGCTGTCGTTCAAGACAGTCCAGTTGCTGTCTGTTGCTCTCGGTGAGTTGCAGAAACCTTGGGTTGGGTACACAATAAATTATAAATAGGATGTGTCCAAGTCAAAGATTCACAACTTGGAAAATGCCAAAAAATGTGAAGAAAACATATATAGGTTCTATCTGTAAGAGTCACAGCTTAACTACACAAATCAGGCATAACTGTTAAGCCAAAAAGAGATGAATTTAATCCTGTTCTGTTAACTTTGGGCTCCTAATAAACAAGTTTCTCAGAGACAGTTTGAATAAAGAGATTAGGGATGTGGGGGTGGGTGAGTTTCCTCAAGGAACCATCCTCCCAGAGTATCTGCTCCTCTAACCCAAGTGATCTCATCACATTTGGGGCCTGCTCTGCTGAGGATTGAGGAGCCACTCTGCTTGAGACTTAAATGTCCTTGTGGCAGAAGAATGTGTCCTGGGGCAAAGCACAAGGGAACCAGTGGATCAGAAGGGTTGGTTATTAGGCAGGGATGAGAGTTCACAGGAGGATGGTGGATCTGATTATCATGTTCGGTCCCTTAAGAAATCCTGTACAGCTCTACCCTCTGGGAAAGCTCAGAGCCAGAGTACTGAGAGGTCAGTTGGTTGCAGATAAAGGGCCAGTCAGAGAAGAGGAACCAAAAGCTCACTGTCCTTCCAGGTGCTTCCCACCACCTGCCCATCAGGAAGCCATGTTCATGTATGTATTTGGATGTACCCTTTTCTGAATTAAGAGAAGCCAAAGGCTTAAATGCCACACTGCTAAGAACAGGATTTTCTGTCTACTGCTTTCTTTCTCTTAGCCCTTCAGCAAATATCAGCCTCTTTGAATCAGGCCAGAAATCTGATGCTGATTTGTAAGCAGCTGTAGTATGGAATTGGCCCTTGGTTGGTGAGCCATTGCAGGGGCAGCTAACCAGTCACAGGGTAGGTGTTGAGCCTGTTTTGCCCAAGGAAGACGTTCTGACCTTTGGGAGGGTAGGGCAGCTCTCAGGTGGTTCTTTGAAATCAAAGTATTTTCTGCTTTTTTGACAATTAGGTGCTATTGGACTTTGTGCCCAATTTGGAATCCCCATAGGTGTTTTGTTTTTTTTTTTTCTTTTTTAACCTCCTAGGAGCCACTTGATTCTGGCAGAATCCATTGCTGTTTCTCTCCACCTCTCATTAGTCCTTAACCATTTATAGGAACACTACACTAGGCACTGGTATAAAGAGATAAGGTATTATCTCAGCTCTCACAATCTGTGGAGGAGACAGAAAAGCAAGTAGGTAGGGTGCAAGTTCCATAATAGGGTGCTGGAAAACTGCAGAGAAGAGGGCATTCAATTTGACCTGGACAGGTTGGAGGTATGGGAACAAGCTTCACAGAAGAAGTGAATTTGCACTGAGTTCTAAAGGCTCTAGGGATGCTGCTTTCAAAGCAGAGGAATCAGCATAAGCACAAAGGCGTGAGAAGCAGTGAGCTGTTTGTTCCTCGCAGGGCCCCGCTTGGTGGCCCAAACAGGACATGATGTATGCATGGTGCCAGAGGAGCACGAGGATAGCCAAGGCTTAGGAAGTGTCTGCTGAGGTGCTGTGAATCCCTTCTGTTTTCTTCTCTCTTCCCTTCCTGAGAGGAATGCTGACCTGGGAACACAGATTGGACCAAGCCTGTGAGCTTAAGTTTGCTGGGTCTGTGTGTGGGTGGGGATACCCATGTACTTTCTTTTTTTTGCTTTTTGGTTTTTGGAGGTTATTGTTTTTATTTTTTTCTTTGAAGTAAAATTGATCTACAGGGAGGCCTGGTGTGCTACGATGCATAGGGTTTCAAGGAGTTGGACACAACTGAGCGACTGAACTGAACTGAGTGACTTTATAGTTTTATACATTACAGAATGATCATCATAATAAGTCTAGTTACCATCTGTCACTGTACAAAGCGATTATAGTATTACTGATTATATTCCCTGTGCTGTACATTACATCCCTGTGACTTAATTTATTTTGTAAGTGGAAGTTAATTCCCTTCCCCTGTTTCACCCATTCTGCTGTCACTCTCCCTTCTGGCAACCACGAGATTGTTCTTTGTAGATTGTATTTATAAGTCTGTTTCTGTTTCGTTATGTTTGTTCATTTGTGTTTTAGATTCCAGATTTAAGTAAAGTCGCATGGAATTTGCCTTTCTCTCTGATTTACCTCACTTAACAGAGTACCTCCTGGGTTCATCTGTGCTGTTGCGGGAGGGAGATCTCATTCTCTTTTATGGCTGAGTAGTAGCCCCTTGTGTGTGTGCGTTTATTTTTATGTATGTATAATTTCTTTATTCATCTGTTGATGGGCACCTAAGTTCTTTCCATATTGTAGTTTTTGTCACTAATGCTGCAATGAACACTGGGGGTGCATATGTCTTTTCTGAGTTAATGTTTTCATTTCTTTGGATAAATACCCAGAAGTGGAATTGTTGGGTGTTGTGGTAGCTCTGTTTTTGATTTTCTGAGGAACCTCCGTATTGTTCTCCATAGTGGTTGTACCAGTTTACATTTCCACAACCAGTTTACATTCTCCACAACAGTGGAGGAGGGTTCCTTTCTCTCCACACACCCATATAGTCTTTCTTCACCCAGCGCACTGACTAGGTTTCTTCTCAAAGGTCCAAACATGGTAGATGCATGCAGCCATTGGAAAGAGAAAGAAGGACCCTGTGTCCTAAATTCGTCTCTGACTCCCCTCACACAGAGTTAATACTGCAAGGTGGATAATGTCAGACCCCTCTTTTCTCTCTGAAGGCTAAAGCAGGTACCTTTTTGGTGACACTGGGAGCCGACGAAGTAAACTGAATCGGCCTCCCTGATGCTCGCGCTGGCTGAGAGGAGCTCTGGCACCAACCTTGGTTTCTGCAGTTATCGCAGCGAGTGCAGCTTCAACGTTTTCTCCAGAGACAAGACAGAGGTGCTGAGGCCTGACTTAGGGAAACAGGTGCCAGAGCCGTCAGCAGCTTCAGCTGGCTGCAGTGTGGAGTGTAGAGGGAATTCTCAGTTCAGATACCAACCTTCTTTGCCAATGGAAAGCTGGTTTAATCCCCAGTGCATGGGAATTTTTAAAGGACCAAATGTAGGATCTGGGAACTAGAATTGGCAGGCCTATAATTGTCACAGTTCTGACACTGGCAGGGCCATTTTCCTCTTGGGTAGGGGAGCGCTTATCACGAATTCGGAGAGGAGAGTCTGCCTGTCTGGTTTCACCAAGAACAGTGCTACTCCAGGCCTGCCTGACTGGTTGGTGTCTTCAAGGCCCATATCCCCACGGGAGGAGTAATGCCTCATGATTGATTAGCCATAGATCCTCAGTAAAGTCTGTGAGGCCAGATTATCCGGAAGAGGGGAGGAGGAGGAGAGTGTTAGGGTGCCAGATCCTGTGTTGGAGAAAGGGTGCCCTGGAGCTGCGGCAGATAATGAATGTTAATATGTGTCGCATGAGCAGTTGCAGCCCTCTGGGATATTGACATGAGGTTTTCTGAAGGAAAGACATTTTGTGACATGAGCTGGGGAGGTGCTGGAGCTGAGTCTTCTGTCAGTTGCTCCCCCTTCCCCATTTGTTCTATTCTCATTAAGTGTTGGTTGGTTGACATGAGTGTTAACATTCTCACTTTAAGCTTTCCCTCGGAGTTTCTTTGAGTTGTGCTCAAAAAAGACAAAAGCAGATTATCTAGAATAAAATCTTGCCGGTCCTTTAGAACAGTGATTTTCAGTCCAGAGACTTTTTCAAATTGCAGCTCCGAGCTCCCTTGGTACTATAATATGAAAGCAAGGCTGCTAGTGGGAGTTGTCTGTGGCCTTTCAGGGGTGTGGAGGTGGGGAGGAAGGTTTATGAACCGCAGCTTTCCTGAATCTATGAGAGAGATGTCCGTCCAGAGATTGGTGGTCTCTAGGAAGATTGGCTCAGGTGAGATCACATAGCCTGTGGCTCTTGCCGGCTTCCTATAGGCTAGGAGGAGAGTGATCCAGACACAGGACAGGAGAAACTCCGTCTCTGAAGAGAGCACCTGGCAGGCTTTCCCTGGTTATTCCCCATCATCACCTGTTGAAAGACAGAGCCTCTTAAAGGACTGTGTAGGGAATAGCAGCAGTAACAATGTCTGCCAAGTTGACCTCATCCAGAGAGAATACTTGTTAGCAAGATGTTTTATTTTATGTTTTTTTTGGCTCTACCGTGTGGGTTGCAGATGAGATCTTATTTCCCTGACCAGGGATTGAACCCGGTGCCTGCGGCAGTGGAATTTTGGAGTCCTAACCACTGGACTGCTAGGGGGTTCCCAACAAGTACCCAGTCCTGCACCAAGAACCGAGAGGGTCACGTGCATGAAGTCAGCATGCCCACCTGGTATAAGGACAGTGTTTGCCTAAGATAAAGTGGCTCTCAGGAAGATTGGCATGAGATGGGGGCAGGTGTCCACGTACATGCACTCACATAGTTTATAATGCTGGACTCTTAAAAATTTATCCTTTGCAAAATTATCACGGAATCAAAAATTAGCAGATTTGTTAATAGAAGCTTTTAAAAAAAATAATTCTCCATCACCACCCTCTCATTTTTGCCCCTCCCTTTTTCCTTCCCTTCTCTTTTATCACTTACTGTCATTCCTTGTCTTGTCCCTTGATGGATGTCTCCTCAATAACCCTTATTATTCCCTTATATATAAATGTAATAACCCTTTCAA